AATATAACCGATTCGGATTTATTATATCGCAGATGACCGAGCGCACGGTATTTGATTGTACTTCAAAAAGTCGGTAACCATGGTTACCCGGCGGCGTGCCGTGAAGTGCACCGGCCTTTTTCTCTTGTCAGGATAGGATCGTCCGAATTCAAACGTAATTAACCTCGGATGTCAGTTTAACACGTTCACCGCTTTCCGGTCGGAAGTTAAATGACCGTAAAAGAGGGCTTACCTCAGTCGGTCTGGTTTATTTTCTTTGACATCCTAAGTCCACCCCTCGTCGCTGTCCAGGTCTAATTCCGCAAACTCAGCGCTGCCTTTAGTATTCCTATGTATGATGTATACGCAGAGCCGGCCGAAATTAATATCCCACACCGGACATAGGTAAATTTTTCATTTTGACTTCAGAAATTCGTGTTTAACGACTACACCGATGAGGTACCTAACAATAATAATAAATAAATAACCATAGTCTATCTACTGTCCAGAATAACTTCTTAAGATACCTATCATATAAATATCATTATAAAAGAACTCCTCATACTGGGTATGATACTGCTTGTAATCTCTTTAGAATAATGCCCCTAAATAAAAGATTTAATATCTTAAACTGTACATTTTTATACAAACTATTACATAATATTATAGACTGCCACGAAATAATCGAACGTTTACATTTTAGAGTAAACCAATCTAATTCCAGAAATAATTCTACTTTTTATCTTTCCTCTACCTCCTCAAACTATATGCTATATACCCCTGCAAATATACTTATGTCTGCAGGTAATTCAAATATAGACTTAGATTTATTTAATACTACCTTATTTAATTTGTCTAATATTTGATCTACTTATCTTTTATTTCTCTGCTTTGTGTTATCATATTTTTCTCTCTTCTATTTCCTCTACCTACATTTATAATCCACTATACTCACAATATAACTGTTTTATTTATATCATGTTATAATTATATATTATCTTTAAGTTTAAATACCTAAATAGCTATTTAATATTTGTATATATATATATATATATATACTTTTTTTGTTTTGTTTTATCTTATTTATATATTCACATTACTTGTAACCCATAATATGTACACTTAACACTGACACAAACTGTCATTACACAATATTTTTGTAATTGGAATTTATTTCCGTAAATAAATAAATTATTATTATTATTATTACTATTATTATTATTAAAATAACTCGGTCGTGCGTCTGAATAGGTTAGTTAGTCCTTATAATTAACTAGAGTTTATTTTTTTATTTATACATTATATAATGTATAACGTATAATATAATATGATATATTATATTATATATGTACCGCATGTGCAGTTGACAGCCACTGCACAACGATGTTTCACTTCCGTTTTGCGTTTTCCCATTGAAATTGTTCCCGAGGAAGTCGCTCTTGTGCAAAGCATAATTATTTTTTGTTTACGGGCATTTTTTAACTAACGCACGATAGACTATTGTTTATTTTTCCCGTTCTTGAACTGAGTTGGGGACGGATTATTTATCTCCGTCCTAAATAAAAGTATTATTTTATTTCCTTGAATCAGAAAAAACTGTTATATTTATTTTAAAACAGTCATCCGTGCTGAACTTTACAAAATATGAACAATAAAAATGTTTCTATACATTTATTAATCGATAACAGTAACGCAGTATTAAGTTGGGTGGACGGATGATTCTTGTAATAACAAATTTGTTAATATTGATATATGGAATAGTATGCACACAAATCGTTATCATTTAGGTTTGAGCAATTTTAATGTAAAATAAAATACCAAATCAATAGTTGTTTAATAGTATTTAAAATATATAAAACAATAGAATGGTATTGAATGTGACACAAGTCAATATGTATAAAGTGAAAATGAAACATTTTATAACAAAGGATAAAATAATAAAATATTTAAAAACCGTTAACCACAAAAAATAATAAACATACTTACACTATTTACATATTTTGCGATTAATCCTTCTTGAACAGATTGACAGATTGAAATCTGTTCAATTGGTACAATCGCAAAATATGTAAATAGTGTAAATACAATCCTTACTCAAGGTTCAATAATTTTGTATTACACATATGATATAAATTGTAGTGACCGTAATATGTTTAATGAGGTTAGTAAATAATAAAGTGATAAAACATTTTAAGAAATCCTTAACCACAAAATAGTGTACATCGATATCAATGCTATCATCATCAGCGCTACAATAAACTAAGTTCGATTACGGGTAAATAACCTCATTTTATATCTCTATAGCAGCATCATACCGGAAGTGAAGTGTCTACGTTAACACGTGTTTTTAAAAATTACTAATGTATTATAATACTTAAAAAACAGAAGCTAGGAAGTTATCAACAAATTGACTAAGTACATGATCGAACAGAAAGACCGGCTGATATTATTCATCTTGGTAGCTTTATTTCCAAGTGTTCTCATAGATAAATAATAGGTTTCTTAAACGATTGGTTTAGTAATTTAAATAAAGAAAAAGATAAAATAAATTAATTAATAAATTTAACAAAAATACACTTTAGCGTATGTGTCAAATTGTTTTCAGTTTCAGAATGGTTATCTGCATAAACTGTTGACAGAGAAATGAGTAATCCTTCATCACCTTTCTTAGCGGAAGTTTTCATGAGTAGATTTGAAATAAATATTAAAAGTAATTACCGAAAAGTTGGTTTAGTAGCTATAGATTTCAATATTGATGTTTTTCTACCCTAACCAAACAAGCAGTCGGTTTCCAATCTATATTTGTCGACTTCCTAAAGGTGTTTTTGAATAAAGAATAATACAATAGAAATGACAATAAAATATTTTTGGGTTTCAAAATAATACTAAATGCGAAAATATTATTAAATGGGGTATAACTGTATTTTTAATGAAAACACAACTATACTATTATAATTATTTTATAGATGGCATCAGACTCCATTTAAAAGTTTTAATGAAACGTTGATGGAAAACTGACAAAAGAATACAATTTGAAAAATTTAATAAGTAGTCAGACGTTTAATCGACGTAGCGTTTTCTTTAACTGCAAGGTTAGTTTTGTTCAACATAAAAAAATAATTTAAATCTTTAATACTCTATAACAAAACGAATGTCCAAGCAAGTTGAATTAAATAATACCCGAAAAACACATTAAGAACATATAAGAAAATATTTTAAGTATATTTTTAAAAGAAGACAGTACGGGGGGTCTTTTATGGTGAAGTCGGAATCAAAATTATATCATCTGCAAACCTTATGCACCATGACGACCCATCCTATATCTTCTTTGTAACCATTTTAAACAATCAGGTAACGTTTAAACCCTGATAAAGTAATGAAAATATAAGTTTATAAATTAAAATATTGGCATCAACAGAGTTGTAGTATGGTAGGTGGTTTTACATTAATTCGGTCCAGAGGAAGCAAACAAACTGTTCTGTAATTGACAAATTGAGATAACGCTAACCGCATCGATGGCAACAATATTACAGAACATTATAATGATGTTAATAATAACAATAATCATAATGTATGGCCAAATAACAATCAAATTATGGGATAAATTATTACTGTCGGGATTGCATTGCTGATCAAATATAATGCCACGGTTTTGTCATATTAGTAAATTATGATGTTACTTTATGGCACCCAGCAGACATGGTGAAACTATTGTTAAGCTACTAACTACTAAACCCTATTGTACATTCATTTCTATCAAGATTATTTTTAATATCATAGAATAAAAATAAAAAAACAATGATTTACATACACAGGGCATAAATTGGTAATTTAGATCGTTTTAGTATCATATGGTTTTAACTGATGAATTGTTTTTTTAACAACTTAAGAAGCCATACGCTAGAAAAAATGTTAAATTTAATAGTTAAAAAAAATAGGTTGCACTCAAATTAGCATACTAAAGTTATGTTCAGGATGTCTTGTGAAAATGTTTAAACTACTTATTTTCCAAATCAATGTAAAACGTCAGTAGGATTGAAAACATTTATGTTTTGTTATCATAAGCAAACAACAACAGCTCAATATTTTAAATATTGTTTTGAACAAAGCTGATAATTTATATTTTCCGTTAAATGCATATTTAAAACCAATGTATTAATTAATACAATCAAATAAGGCATGTTGCATTGACATAGTTTATCGAGGTAAGCTGATAAGTTTGTTTAAAACTTTCAACATGATTACAGATTATTTATTACTCATTTAACAAATCATTCACGATAATAATAATATTTAAAACCATTCTATAAATTCTAATAATGACTTAATTGTTTTTTACTTAATTTGTACATTATAATTAAGGTTTTAATTTTATTTTTGGCATTGATTGCTTTCTTAAAATAAAATTGCAGTTATTTGTACAAATGGCGATAGCTAAACTAATTCATGTAGACTCGAACGCTTATTACTCGAAATAGTTAGAACCAAATATTAGTTTAACTATAATTGAATCGGTAATTTCAAAAACGACACAAGTCACAAAATTGAAATTTTACACTAGCCAAAAAAAAACTTCATAACTAGTTTTTGCAGTGATTCTAATTTCTTGTACTCAACATTTGTATTAAATATGAGTCTGACAAATTTAGTTTTCACAGATTACGTAACTAAGTATATAATTATCAAGTTTGACAAAAATCAGTTTTTAAAAAATCGGTGATTTATGTCATTTTTGACCGATTCCATTATATTTTTAATTAATTTTTGATAGTTAAATTATTACAAAGACGATGAGACTGAATAGAATAGGGTTTGACTTTTTGTCACTGGCAGATTTTTTCTTTCGACAAGCGTCAGCTTAGGGACTAATTAGCCACCGACTTCTTTACTGGGTGCTAAACTTATTTTGATTCCCTCTTATATTTGTGATTAAGGTTTTGCTCTTCCAAAAAATTGATGAGAAATTCGTTTCTATCTTTTGATTCTTACTATTTTTATGATAATATACTATTGTTACTCACTTGTACACGAAGGGGCACGACCACGTCCAGCCTAGTATCTACTTTGGCGTCGCCCATTTCGTTGGTCGCCAAACAGCGGTAGTTGCCTGCATCTTCCGGTCTAACCGCTTCAAGCGACAACACCTGTCCGAGTACTCTGATCCCCGAACCGGTTTCCAAAAGTTCCGGTTCTATTGAATCCATCACGCGGTACCATCTAAAGTGCGGATTTGGACATCCGACGGCGATGCAAGTGATCACTGCACCTTCGTCTTGAGCCACGCGAATCGAACCCTTCTGAGCCACGATTTCGACCATCTCGTTGTCGGTGGCTTCTGTAAAACCCCCCAAAAAAAAAAAAAAAATTGTTTTGTCTTTAAATCAGCTTACATTGTATTTTTTAATGCCGGATTTATATGATTTGAGCGCAAAACGCAAAAATATATCTATCTCATTATCCGACCCCGGCAACGCATGACGATAGCTCCTCCTGTTGGTGTCGGAACGCCCGTCACCGCGCTTTTGTATGTCTATCCATCCGTGTACTATGGTTATGCTCGCAATTTTGTCGCCATGGTTACCGGTGATAGGTTTGCAGAATTCAGAAAAGGGTTATACAGTGTTATTATTTCGGTTTTCGGGTCACGTCGCAATAATAATTACTGTTACCGGTGGTTTATATGTCTGGCCGCCGCCGGGTACGTTTCCCATCAAGCTCAGTTTCATGTTTTTTAACACCCTCAATCTTCCTCCCTAAGATTTGCCCATCCAACCGTGATGAGTTCAATATAAATTATATGTATACATCACCGTCCACGATGTCCTAATAGGTAGTAAAAGCGCTCACCGTGTACAGCTATGTTGGCTGGCGAGCTGGTCGTTACTTTCCTTGTCAGTATGTTCACCATCTGACATGTGTACGACAAAAATTGATCGCTAAACTCCAAGTTGTGCACTAGCAGTTCGCCGGTATGCATGGCGTGGTATTTACCGTCTGCGAATAACAAAATAATATAGATTTATCACATAAAAATAACGTCATAACGACGACAGGAGGAAGAAACCAGGTTATAATTAACGAACTTAAAATTACAAAAGTATTAGCAAAGTAGGGCCTAGATATCCTGGTTTCAAAGGTATGGGTAATATTGTCGTAAGTGGTAAAAATTAAAATCAACTGAAATGGTTAAAGTGGATTTAATGAAAATCTCTAAAAAAATGTCTTTATATTTCATACATTTGTTTCACCAAACACGAATGCGACATAAACATTAAAAACTATAAGTTGTTTAAATAGAATTAATTTATGAAGCATGTATAAACACGGTTAATTTAAAAAGGGTATGTATTTGAAAACAATGTCGAATTTGGAATTCTGTAACAACTTAATGTATTATTTAATATTTGGTTTTAGTATAACTTGATTTGTTTGCATTTTACTATATCACGGATTCACTTTGGTTTTGATCATTCAGGTCGGTTATTCTTGTTGAAAGTGTGAAAACCCTTAGGGTATTGGTAGCGCCGTCGCGGTATTTTGAATGGAATTTTAAATACACAAAAACGTTATAGTGCTTTTCACTAAGACGCGAGGGAACTAAAAAAATAAATACTTGAACGCGTTTAAATATAATTCGTAGTATTCCTGCTTTGTATTCATAAAAGCGACACGGGGTATCGAGTGCATGTTATGCGGTTAAACAAAATGTGATCATTTTTATAGTGCCAACAACGTTATTAGTGTTATTTTAGTGAACCGTATGTCCATAAAACTTTACTAACCTCCTTGTAGTGACGGGTATATGTAGAAACCGGGTTCTTGAAGCCACGACACGACTTTGACCATGTCTTTCGTGAACGACGGCGCCACGCATTCCAATACGGCCGTGCACCCCTTGGCAGAGCCACCGTTCACAACCCGCACTTCGAGGTTGTAATCTTGTTGAACAACTGTAAAAAAAAAAAAAAACGGGTAAGTAATTAAAATTAAAATAATTTAGTTTTAAAACATCCAGTGAAATCCCTAATAGTACTTGTTCTCGATTGTCGACAGTACACTTTTTAGTTGATTAGTTATAGCCTAATGCTATTATTAGCATGAATCTATGAGTGATAGTAATAAAATGTAACACTAGATTTATTTAATACTAGCTTCCCGTGGACCCGGTTTCGCCCCGGGTTTATAAATACAATTGCAACAAAGTACCCAAACATTTTTTCACCTAAACTTTCCTTATGAAACACTCTTTTTATTAGTGAAAATCGGAATAAAATCCGTCTGGTAGTTGCTAAAAAAATTGTTTACAGACGCGGTAAACGAACATGTTTTATGGTTTTCCAAAATTTTCCTACTTTCCCTAATTTTCTTTGGCAAAAAACTTTTCTAGGACCATAACGAACAAAACGAGAAAAAAAAATTACATAAATCCACGCATATGGTCACGAGTTCATACAAAAACCCCATGGAAAAAAGTACTTTCAGCTATTCCCGAATATTTCAATTTTCCGGTCAACTTTTCCAATTTTCTTTCCGTAAAAACCATATTCGGACTATTATGAACAAAAAATTGAGCCAAATCGGTCTGGCCGTTCTCAAAAGATGCGCTTACCAACGAAAAACATTTAATTTTTATTTATATAGGTAGGGCTTTTTCTTATCAAATACTCTGTTTATACATTTCATTGTTTTAATATTAATATTTAAACGCACAGTTTGAAATTTATGAATTGTTTTTCAACTTTACACTGCATCTGTTAATTGAATATAAAACACGACAACTGACTTCCTTTGCTTTAATATTGTATCGTTTAAGAAAAATGATCGTTAATAGAAACGAATACCGAAAAGGCGTTTATTGAAAAAATGATGAGACTAGTTTTCTTAATAACTATTTTGACATTGAGAAAATTACATTAAAGATAAATAGGGACCAGATTCTTATTGACAATGCCAAGAATTCTAAAGTAAAAAAACGCGAGAAAAGTAACCAAATGAAAAACGCCTACGTATACATCAGAAACTTTTGATTTAAAATTTAATTTTCTTTAATTTTCGAATTACTTACAATTTCCAAGACTGTACCTTAGCCAGGAATCGAATTTGCAAAGGTGGTCAATGATTTTTCAATTATTCTCATGGTAGCTATAGTAGTCAGAAAACTTTCGATTTTCTGATAATACCTTGCGAGTTGTATTCTACATAATGTATAAAACACTCAAAGCTACTGCAAATACGGGGGAAATGTCTTAATAGAATTTTTTAATTGCCGTGGCCTTTGAATAAGTTGCATCAATGACTATAGCGTTTGCCGTCACTTGTAGAAAATATATATAACACTTCAAGACGTTTAACCACACGAGCTGAGCATAAGAGCTTATGTAAGGTATAGAAACGACTACACTGCTGGATTGCAATATCCAATATCATAATACACTAACGGGAAATTAGATTTCTCCTTAATACTTCAAAGTCTTGACGTTATTATATTACATTGTATTGTGTGGAAATTGTAGCGAGAATGAAATTCGACGGCTAAGGAGCACACTTGTAAAGGAATGTATATTCGAGTCCTTTGTAAAAAACAATATATATGTTGGAGTATAAAAAAAAGTGGTTGACAACTCAAATAGAGAAACCGTAGAACTAATATATCTTACAATTTCAATAATAAATGAAGTAAACGAACCATTGTCGTTAAACGCATAAACAGTTTCAACAAGTCGGTGGTAAACCCCACTCGGAAACGTCAATCTTTATTAGGAATTGGTGACTCTCCACCCTACTCAGTACAAGGACATTTACTAGGTAGTACATGTAAACACGATACTGTTTAATATTGTTTATTTGCGTGACAGCGAAGCTATTCAACACACTATATTGTCACACAACATCTCCAACGTCTCAAATTATAATCTGGTTGTATAAATAGGTACTACCAAATGCTATTAACTACCGCAAATAGTTTTTTAATAATATGTGTTTACACTATTTTTGAAGGTATGTACCCACATCTTACTAATCTTCACATATTTCCACCCAAACAAAAATGTATCTAAGAATTGGGGTGTCAGTTAACGTTTGAAGAACACGAATTGCAGTATAAAGATTATTAAAAAATAAATTTGACTTTTATTACATTGAATTGAAGTATAACGCTGGACGCTGAACTAAATGTAGTGGTAAACATTGAAAAGTGAAATCCATTATAAATTAAATTTAGTAAGATAAACTAATTACATAATTAGTAACTTAATAATTTAATTATTATTTTTATACGCAATTTTAAGTTTTCACCAATTAACATGATTCCAAATTTAGCAATAATTAATAAGCTTTTGAATTATTGAATTTTACGATACAAAAAAACGTACAATTATAGTTATTAAATTATCTGTATATTAATTTATGAATATGTTTTTCAAACCCGTAATAGATTTTGTAATTTTAAAAATCACTAAAAATATCTTAAATCATAAATACGTAATTATTTGTATTCTCGTTTAATTGGAACGAAATTAACTATGTTACTTAATTGTATACAAGAACAGCTGCTGCAATAATGCCAACAATAATGCCGAGAGCGAAGTGTCATTTGTATACGAATTTGAACTTCGCTCATCTATTTCGTGAATCATTTAACTTACTAAGTAAGTTTTAGAGTTAATACAAAACCCACCTAGTAATAGAAAATAAAGTTCCCTGTCTTAAATGCAAGACAATACTATTGATTAAATACAATCAATTATAATATATTTAATCAATGACAATACTAAATTAGTCGAGATCCACCAGGAAAATAGTTTTATAGTCAGTAAAACACTAAAAATATACATATCTAAATCTGTTAAAAATGTTCGGGCACTATCGCCATTTAATGATAGGCATTTAACTGCTCGTTGCTTATCGTGTTCTTAATAATAAAAATATGTTTATATCTTTCACAAGGAGAGCAAAATAATATAGTTTAGCTAACCTAATATTCTTAGCGCTCAACCAAGGTTTTAATAGATAAGGTGTGAAATTTATATTTTAAGATATTTATAAATCATAGGTGCATTACATCATCGTACCATTTAATGTTTTTTAAATTACATTTACAGTGAGAATATCTATTAATAATTTGGATGATCGATCAATCTAATGTTAATTTAGACTTATCGATATTTGTATCAATTCATATTTTTGATACTTTTTGCCCGTCTTTGATTCCAAATAGATATTGTAATGATGTGTGCGACTTAACGCTATTAAGTGAAAGTATAGTTTGTTATGACAAACACAACTTTAACACTTTTACAACTTGATTTTGGCTTGAAAATTGTATCGATTAACAAGTACACCATGTAAGACATACTCACCAGCTCTGACGTGCACATCTCTGCTGACTATGGCACCGACTTCGTTGGTAGCCAGACACCTATACACGGCACTGTGCACGTCCTGTCTGTACATGGCTGGCGAAAATGGCAGCAGACCAAGCGTGCCGTTTGAAAAGTCTTGCCGGAGACCTGGCATGTCGGTCACAGGAGTTCCATCTGCGGTCAGCCACCGGACACGAGGCGCCGGATGTCCGGCAGCTGTGCAGTCGATCCATGCTCCGGTGGTGTTGGAGAACTCGTACTTGACCGGAGGCTCCAGCAAGAAAGTAGGTCCCGTAAAGTCTGTCGACATAGACGGTGACGTAAATGCCGACAACCCTATAGTGACAAAAAACAAGTTTAAGGTTTTAATACACCTGTTGTAGTTCCTATTGTATATACAATCTAGGACGGCAATAGCTAGAAGACCCATTATTTTAGTAATTTTGGTATTTTATTATGTAGCACTTGCTCGTCTACCATGTGTAAAACAACTGTATGATTTATATTGACAATATGTGTAGATAAAAAAATCATCTAATAACATAATCTAACCTCACATATTTACAGATGAATCAATAATCTGTTTAATAGTATAACTATCGTATTGTTCAAAATAGAAACGGCCCCGACACAAAAACAAGCAACAGTCCTGAATTATACATGTAAGCAACTCTTGTTTTTAACAATACGATAGCTTATTTGTATATTATACATTTTGATATTGATATACTTACATTTAAACACATGCTATTTACACTGAGTTAAAAATGTATTATTATAATGCATTGCAAAAACAATTTAATATATTTATTATATAGACAAACGATTCACTGCTATATAATATTATAATATTGATATTTTAGATCTGTAATGATAAAATAATGTTAATTTAGACAATAGTTCTAGAGAAATACTATAGTGTAGCACAATTGCCTACACACAACGCCGTGATATTTCCACATACATTTGGGATTTCACTAATGATAATAATAGTAATAATATACAAATAAATGTTATACGAAAAGGAATTTTTAAGAATATGTTAAGCTTTCATTGATTGAAATATTATGTGGATAATTTTCAAATGTATCCATGTCTTCAGTTTTCCGCTGACGTTTCGGACTGGCTCTCTTGTTTCATTCGCTGTCGCTTTAAAGATGCACTCTGCAATGAGACCGAAACGTCAGCAGAAAACTGAAGACATATACATCTCAAAATTATCCACATAACGAATTTATGTTAAACTTCAACGTGTTATTTAGTTTTTGAAAGGTTATTGTATTTAAATGGTCTGATCGTTGCGGGTTCGGCATTCAAAACCGTATGGTGTTTAATTTAATAGTTATTTACAAAACAAACACTGTTGACATTTTTAAATTGTATAGTTATTGTCATCGACTCGTTACCATCCCATTTAAAAGTCTCGGTGGAAATAAAAATGAGTTTAATGGATTTTTTCCCCTAAATAATGATTTTTCAATATAAACGTATCCGATTTGCGACACCGGAAAATTTGCGTACAAAATATAACAAACAGTAACACTGAGTAAATATATAAAAGCAAAGAAAAGATGTCGGTTTGATATTTTTTCCGGCGGGTGTATCCGACTGCAATCGTTCGGGTAAGAAATGTCAATATTTGTTTTAACAGAGTTACTTTTTTCATAGTATCAACAAAATGTAAAGGGAAATATAACTCGAACGTGACATGTTTATTTAATACGTTATTACTGCATATTATACACTTCCTGAAGTATATTTTATGTGTTAAAAGACTTGACAACATGATAGTGAATTCTACTAATGAAATATGTAATAAGCCAAAGTTTACTAAACAAAAACTAAAGCAGTAAAAAGTTAATAACGTTATTATTATTTATTATCTTTACGTTTTTATAAGTGAGAATTAATTGAGTAGGTACAGAATACAATATTTAAAAAAAACTAAATAAGAACATTAATCAAACAGTAATCTCTTGACTATTAAACGATACTTGATTTAGTTACGGTTAAATTTTAATACTTTAGGTTCCACGACAAAAGTTTTTGTTCAAAATAACAATTCGTTTATCTTTAAAAATAAAATAAAAAAACACAAATGTTGTGATTCAATGTCATTTATACATACCTACTAAAGTGTGAATCGTTAAAAAAATTTAAATTTCAAATTAACTTCTTAATAATAAAGTGGGTATTATTATAATATAAAATGTACATGTTTAGTTTAAATTAAAAATTTTAACCTAACCCGAGTTTCATCGAATTAGCGAGTTCTCATTATATTTGTATAAAGATGTAACTATAGTTTTTTTAAAAATCTAAAATGTAGGTAGGCATGTCTTAAACGTCGATGTTGTTATTTATGCACATATTATATGAACTTATTAAATCTTAACAACATATTATCTGCGATAACAATAATTCGTTAAAGTTACACAACATGCAACAGATAATAAGTTATCTATGCATAAATAAACTATTTAACTAAAATATTGTAATTAAAAATTATGAATGAGGGATTTGTATAATTGTCAATTGGATAAGGATTTAAGTTATATGTACTAATTTCTTAGGCCACGACTTAAAATATTAGCAAATATATTATGGTTTTAAATATAACTAGTTTCGTATATAATAGTAATAATCTAAAATTTTTCAAATTATTATATTAATAAAAAAATTTTTTTTTTTTAAATTACAAGTACACGAACGTTTAAAGAGTTACATACTATTTTAGTAAACTAACAAATTGTTCGTCATTTTTTTTTTAATTGGATATGAATTACTGTTTTTTATGATAAAATTATTACAAAGAAATAACTACAAAAGATTTAGTCACAGTTAACGAAAATTTTAATACCTATTAATGTATTTAATAGATACATTAATACGTCATTATGTATGTAATTAGTGTTCAGCGAATCCGACATGAATGATGAGATGACGCTTAGTTTTCAATTTCGTTCTCAGTTTTCTGACATTTATGAAATACCGACTAAAATGTGCGTAAAGAAAGACAATTGAATTTTTTCTTGACCAATAATAGCAACAATTTCACACTCAATCATAATAACTTATATGACAAACGTAAAAAATATTTTTACGATTTTATCAACGTGATCAGCACACGGAAAAAGGACAAAGAACTGTCTAAAAAGCTCAATCCAATTATTGCCTTCCGAAGCCGTACAGTCTACGTATTACGATACTGTCTATCTGTTCACAACGCGGAAGTCCTCGAAATTTTGATCATAAAACTGGATTATAGTCAGCCAACAATAGTATAATTCTCTACATAAAAATTATAACTTATCATATTGATAGTTTTCCTAAGAATACGCCTCGAGTCTGATTTTTAACAGGTATGTTTTTTATAATTAACGAAATTTCATTTGTTAATCAATAAAAAACTTAAATAATATTTGTGGAACACATCTTTATGTAGTTGAGAAAGCTACAAGCAAAAAAAAATAAAATACTTTTTCAAAACTATTTAACGCTCTCCGAGGCAAACATAATTAAACTAATTATACAATAATGAGCCATTAATAATGTATTTGTTTAAATCTTAGCGCGCCACTGTACTTTAATTTTAAACCAGTTTGTTAACTTGCATAGTTATTTTTTAAATCTTTGAAGAATAATTATAAATCAGAATAGAACAAACAAAAAATTACTATTTTTATAAAAGTGTACAATATTAAAACATTAAAAAATGGACTACCTATTAATATAATTATACTATAATATTATTAATAATATTAAATTTATAATAGTAGAATACTATTATTGGCCAGCTTATTTTAAGTTTAATAACAGTTACAAAACATTGTATAATTTATCACAATGTTCCTGGGAAGTCTAAAATGTCACCACTGCATGATTGGTTTATTAACGTTATAACTTAATGCAAGTTGTAAAGTTACACCTTATGTTACCGTGTTGTACGAGACCTCATTAAGTTTTAAAGATACTTAAGAATTGTATTCACACAGTTATTAACTACTCATACTCATACTGTACATAATATGTAATGTAAACCGTAATCGGATTAACGGAAAACATTTTTGTTCAACAAGAGGACTTTGGGGGGACGCTTCGCTTATAAATAATAGAAGACAGTCCTCATTCTGTTACGGTTTTGATGTCGCTCTTTGTCTTGTAATATCGAATCATATCTTTATCTATCGCTTTTGCGATAATGGACAATAATTGACATATGACTAGCGCAGTTCGTCAAATCGATTTTAATAAAATATCTTATTTTTGTATTGTATTATTGTCTGTCGCATTTCCATAGAACAAACAACCGTAACCGTAAAGTACCTCTGAATTAGAGCATTAATACATATATTCATCGCATAGGTAGCTAAACAACTAAAGAATAATAGTAATTTATAACTTAAAAAAGCTAACACAGTAGGGTCGGGGGCATAGTGGAAACGGGGAGATCACAGGTCTACAGGAATTATTATAACTGAATGTGATAAAATCACTTTTAAATAAACGCTTCTATGCAAATCTGTGGTCTAAAAAGTTGAAAAATATGTAGATTTTTTGGATGTTTTTCTCGATTTTGATGGGGAAGGAATTTTTAAAAAGTTTAGCCCTCACAGGTACGATTTCTGATGTATAGAGTTGCTACACGAAGAAATCGGATCAGTAGCTTAGAAGATATCGTGGGTACAGACACAAAAAAAAAATATAACACATCAGTGTAAATATAATACTCTGTCTGGATAAACAGTGTAGCCTCAGAAAATAAGAAAGTTCCTCATTAAAAAAAAATCGGTAAGAAAATCTGGTTTAATCTCGTATATAAAAATGAATTCTTGTTTTTTTGTCCTTTATGCATTAGTGCACCATTCATCCGATCGCCATGAAACTTTGGGAAGTTGTTGAGTACACTTCCGCGAACCTAACTGGCATAGTACTTTTCGAAAATTCCACCCCTAAGGATGACCTCAAACACGAACTTTGTATTTTAAATACGAAATGTAAATAAATTAAATGTTTGTAACCATAGTAACCCAAAATAAACACTTGGTTTGCAACCATGGTAACCACGGTACTCGAGCAAATGGTAGGTGATGATTAAAGGAACAGGCCGATTTTATGTACATACCGATGTATGGCCGATTCTGGGCAAGCTTTTAACTGTTGGAACGGGATCTGGGACTGAGACTGGGACCCTTGAGTAAGAGGAGGACATTATAACCGAAAAAAGTGTCACAAAACGCTGTCACGCTGTTATCTGATAAGAGATTAAAGATGAGGGATGGGGGTGGGAATGGGTGAATGGGAATTATTTTACTCAGCCCTGGCAGACTAAATGT